CAGCAGGATACGGACCCTGGACTTCAGGAAAGCAGACTTCGACTCCCTCAGGGAACGGATGGGTAGGATCCCCTAGGGGACTAACATGAAGGGGAAAGGAGTCCAGGAGAGCTGGCTATATTTCAGGGAATCCCTGTTGAGGTTACAGGGACAAACCATCCCGATGTGTCGAAAGAATAGTAAATATGGCAGGCGACCAGCTTGGCTTAACAGTGAAATCCTAGCGGATCTTAAACATAAAAAAGAAGCTTACAAGAAGTGGAAGGTTGGACGTATGACCAGGGAAGAGTATAAAAATATTGCTCGGGCATGTAGGAATGAAATCAGGAGGGCCAAATCGCACCTGGAGCTGCAGCTAGCCAGAGATGTCAAGAGTAACAAGAAGGGTTTCTTCAGGTATGTTGGCAACAAGAAGAAAGCCAAGGAAAGTGTGGGCCCCTTACTGAATGAGGGAGGCAACCTAGTGACAGAGGATGTGGAAAAAGCTAATGTACTCAATGCTTTTTTTGCCTCTGTCTTCACGAACAAGGTCAGCTCCCAGACTGCTGCGCTGGGCATCACAACAGTCATACTGCTCCCTTACATACAGTGCTACTCCCCCACCTTTTCTGCCCTGCCTGTCCTTCCTGAACAGTTTATAACCATCCATGACAGTACTCCAGTCATGTGAGTCATGGGGAATAGATAGCCAGCCCTCTGTGGAGAAAGAGGTGGTTAGGGACTTTTTAGAAAAGCTGGACGTGCACAAGTCCATGGAGCCGGACGAGTTGCATCCGAGAGTGCTAAAGGAATTGGTGGCTGTGATTGCAGAGCCATTGGCCATTATCTTTGAAAACTCGTGGCAAACGGGGGAAGTCCCGGATGACTGGAAAAAGGCTAATGTAGTGCCAATCTTTAAAAAAGGGAAGAAGGAGGATCCTGGGAACTACAGGCCAGTCAGCCTCACCTCAGTCCCCGGAAAAATCATGGAGCAGGTCCTCAAAGAATCAATCCTGAAGCACTTACATGAGAGGAAAGTGATCAGGAACAGTCAGCATGGATTCACCAAGGGAAGGTCATGCCTGACTAATCTAATCGCCTTCTATGATGAGATTACTGGTTCTGTGGATGAAGGGAAAGCAGTGGATGTATTGTTTCTTGACTTTAGCAAAGCTTTTGACACGGTCTGCCACAGTATTCTTGTCAGCAAGTTAAAGAAGTATGGGCTGGATGAATGCACTATAAGGTGGGTAGAAAGTTGGCTAGATTGTCGGGCTCAATGGGTAGTGATCAATGGCTCCATGTCTAGTTGGCAGCCGGTGTCAAGTGGAGTGCCCCAGGGGTCGTTCCTGGGGCTGGTTTTGTTCAATATCTTCATAAATGATCTGGAGGATGGTGTGGATTGCACTCTCAGCAAATTTGCGGATGATACTAAACTGGGAGGAGTGGTAGATATGCTGGAGGGCAGGGATAGGATACAGAGGGACCTAGACAAATTGGAGGATTGGGCCAAAAGAAATCTGATGAGGTTCAATAAGGATAAGTGCAGGGTCCTGCACTTAGGACGGAAGAACCCAATGCACCGCTACAGACTAGGGACCAAATGGCTAGGCAGCAGTTCTGCGGAAAAGGACCTAGGGGTGACAGTGGACGAGAAGCTGGATATGAGTCAACAGTGTGCCCTTGTTGCCAAGAAGGCCAATGGCATTTTGGGATGTATAAGTAGGGGCATAGCGAGCAGATCGAGGGACGTGATCGTCCTCCTCTATTTGACATTGGTGAGGCCTCATCTGGAGTACTGTGTCCAGTTTTGGGCCCCACACTACAAGGAGGATGTGGATAAATTGGAGAGAGCCCAGCGAAGGGCAACAAAAATGATTAGGGGTCTGGAACACATGACTTATGAGGAGAGGCTAAGGGAACTGGGATTGTTTAGTCTGCAGAAGAGAAGAATGAGGGGGGATTTGATAGCTGCTTTCAACTACCTGAGAGGTGGTTCCAGAGAGGATGGTTCTAGACTATTCTCAGTGGTAGAAGAGGACAGGACAAGGAGTAATGGTCTCAAGTTGCAGTGGGGGAGGTTTAGGTTGGATATTAGGAAGAACTTTTTCACTAGGAGGGTGGTGAAACACTGGAATGCGTTACCTAGGGAGGTGATGGAATCTCCTTCCTTAGAAGTTTTTAAGGTCAGGCTTGACAAAGCCCTGTCTGGGATGATTTAATTGGGGATTGGTCCTGCTTTGAGCAGGGGGTTGGACTAGATGACCTCCTGAGGTCCCTTCCAACCCTGATATTCTATGATTCTATGATTCCTGACCAAATTTTAATGTGTAAAATTGAGCAAATGGAATTTGAGGTTCCATGCATATAAATTTGGCTGTGAAAAAAACGAAAGCACAGCAATGATTATAAATGCATGCTAGGGTCCCTTTTGAACTTTGGTCGGTGGTACGTTTGACCATTTCTATTTTTAAAAACAAACTTTTTTTTTTCCCATAAAGGAATAATGGTTTGGTTTAAGTGCCAAAAATGTGCCCTGTTTTTTTTTTTTTTTTTGTCATATCTGTTTCCATTATATGGAAAAAACATTCAGTAAGGAACAGGCAACCGCGCTCTTTTAGCATCTGTGCTTTGACAGGAACAGAATTATTCATATTTTTGAGTATTGAAGGCGTCTGAGACCGTGCACACCAGTTGCTGCTAGGTAGCAGAATCTAAAATGCCTCCAGTATATCACACATTTACAACTCGTAGCAGCAGCACAGCAAAATATCATGATTACAGGAATGGTGCTCAGGGATGCAGCTGTACCTTCCTTTGATGTGATCAAGGCCGCTAGAAACCTGTGTGGTTTAGTGAAACGGAATTCTGCAGCTTTTCAATCCTGCCTTTCTGTGTTCTAAGTTAGGGCATATTTCAGCAGATCTGCCAATCTCCTTGCAGTCAATTAAACCATGAGAAACCCCACCAGCCAGGAGAAGTGGGGTAGCTCATTAGCTCTGAGAAGGCTAGATAAACACAATTGTGGATCAGTCTTAATATGGACTTTTGTTTAAAGTCCGGAGAAGATAAAGCCGTACAGAGAAAGTGAGGAAGGAAGACAGACACTTTCTCTGTAAAGGAGAATTCCATTGTTTGGATAGCTCACAGGCATAAAGCACTTATTAAGCACCTTACTGGTCCCTTTTCCATAGACATAGTGGGAGGTTCAGCTCATTAATCATGCAGACTGCAGGGGATAACTGCAAGGGAACAGTGGAGAGGCCATCTAGCCTGCAGCTGTTTCCTTCTTTTATGCTGCGTTCTCCCAAATTTAAATGTTACAAAACTGCAGCTGTTAATTAATCAGAATTTGTACAATATATTTGTTTGGATTTCAAGATGAAGTTATGTCAGTTTTGCTCCAAGCTGTGTCCGTGAAGTGTGAGAACAAGAGGTCTCTGAAACAACTGAATTCCACAAAGAATAAAAATGCACCTCTTGCATATTGTTCTTTGATGAACCATGCAGGTTTTCAGCGCTGCATGTCACTGACTTCAGATCAGTTTTGACTGTGTGAATTACACATGATGAAATCTGTTTTATGTGACTATACAATAGACCTGCAAAACCCAGCTGCCTAGCTACCTGCCTATCTGCCTTTTTAGGCTCACAGAAGTTGGATAGAAAAGACATATTAGATTATCAATTCCAATCTTTTGTCTGTGCAGAGTACAATTTAAAAGTATATATACATTAAATGATACATAGAAAAATGTGATTACAGTAGAAACTTCCTCATTAATTCTTGCTCTAAATGTTGGGAGACCAATTGAAATCAGAGAAGTTTGCAGTTTAGCAAGTGTCTGTGACGGAGACAATGTGTCCAGTGCCGTGTTCTGTAATTTTGGCCTGCCGGGAAACAGTGTCTCATGTTGGCCCCACCTTGATGCACTACCAGGGCTGTTCAGACATCCTCCTCAGAAGGAAAGTGGTGGAAGGATAGGCTGTCTGTTCAGAGTTCTGATGGGCCTGCAGGAATGAAATGGAAGCTGACCGATTAACTGTGGAGATGCCTGTTTGATCAGGAAAGGGAAGGTTTTCAGAAAGGCTGACCTCATTCCTTTCCTCTTCCATGGACAGTAAGAGAGAGAACCACACCTGAATGTACTCCCGTGAATCAGCTCAGTGCACTGGAAGTCAGGGACACTATATTTGCCTGAAGGAGATGTCTCCAGCCTCAACGGTGTCCTCTCCTGCCTGGAAGAAAAGACAGAGGAAGAATTGCCATATGCAGTGTTCCTTAACAACATGGTTGCCCAGCTGCTCTGCTTACTTACCTTGCACTGAGTCGAGCCACATTAAGAGAGACCATTTTAAGAGTGGGGCAGCATTTCCAAAGGCTCTCTCTATGACGATGATTCTGCAGACTTACCCTTTGCTTCCTCTTCGTTCCCAGAGCCCCAGCAGTTCCACAGAAACACTGGATGGGCAACCTGGCTCTGGTTCCCCATTCTCAGCCACACTGTGTAATGTAACTATCCCTATTTCAGTGTTGCAGCTACTGTTTGATGTGGGACCAGTACCTTATGTGGTGCTCTCTAACTGGCCAGGGAGAGCATGATGTCACATGTGCTGGCTCCACCCCCCAATAGAGCTTTCTGGGTCTGCACTTTTATGGACTGCTAAGCTGAAGAGCAATTTAATGGGGTTCTACTGTCCTGCCATTCTGAAAACTGTATTATATTCTTTCCTAAGGTTAAAAAAAGAGAAACCAATTGGAAAAACAAATGTGTTTCACACCTGTGTTATACCCGCTACATTAAACACTGATGTTTGGCCCAAGATCAATGAACGTTTCAGGTGTCCTTTTCATAATCAACAAATAACTCTTAAAGAAACTTTCTGACGTGGTTTTATATTTTATAACTATGACAAAATACATTGTAAGCAATGCATATTTCAAAGCCATCCATGAACATGATATCTGTTTTAAAGTCATGTAAAATATGTATAATTTTATTTGTTATTCTTTCCTACAGAGAAAGAGACCTTTCTGGATCCCTTTGTGCTGAGAGACCTTCTGCCGACGTCACTGGGAAGTTATTATCGCTATACAGGTTCTCTGACAACTCCACCATGTAGCGAGATTGTGGAATGGATAGTTTTTCGCAGGCCTGTTTCTATTTCTTATCACCAGGTAAGCTTATGCCATTAGTAATGGCTCTATCTTGATTTGCCCTCTAATACTCAAAAACTGGTGTTTTAATTTAGAGAACCAAAAAAAAAATCTGTTGACAAAAAAAGGAAATATTAGAGGGTTTTTTTTTAATATATATTGATTCTGAACATGAGCAATCAAATTTAAGGAGAAAATACAACATGAAACCCAATTTCCTTCTAATGATTTAGCTAGTGCTGGTTATTTTAAGATAAAGCTAAGCTATCGTCTAAATATTTACATAGAATCCTTTTTTCTTCTTTTAAATTGAAGGTTTGTTTTGAAAGTAAAATAAGTAACTTTACACAGACACGTATTTAGTACTTCAAGTAATTACACTAGGAAAGAAATGTTACCATTAATTTGCTATCTTTAACTGTTGTTACAGCATAGTGAAGCTGCCATTATGTGCTTATACAAATCTTTAAAGCTAGCACATAGCATCTCTTATTGTAGATTGAGGCAATGACTGGAACTTGTATTGAGAGGAATCCCACAATAACAAATGAATATATGCAGTCAAGTGTTTAACTATTAAAAACAGTTTGACATTTTAAAACCATTGTTTTTAGAAAGACTTCCTGTTAAATTCAGATTCTCCTTCAATGTTCTTGTTTTGCTTCAATTGTTGAAAACAGAGCTGTTGTAAAATAAGCTATTCTGGTAAAAGTTAGTGAAGTATCTAACTAGAAGTGAATGTAAATATGTCAGTATACACACTCCATAGACAAATGTTTAAATGATCTAATACACAGCTTAAGGAATGAGTGTCTATACATCTGGGAATAATGCTTAAATTATCCAAAAGTACAAAGTTTGGTTTAAAAGTCATAAAATAAATATAGTACATAATCTGCAATATCCCAAAATAAGGAAAATAAATTTAACAATACGGTTTAGATATTAGCATCCAAATATTCAGGTATGTCACTCATAAAAGGGTATTATACTAAGAGTAGCTTGTAGAAAGCAAATATAGCAATGAGTGTAGATGATACCCATATACCCCACCTCCACCAGGGGGTTGCACAGCTGTACCTTACAGTGGCATAGATAAAATAGTACATCTTGTATGTGTAGACAAGCTTTCCATGTTGATTTAACTGGCAGTGTGGAATAATTGTATTATTTCCCCCTGCAGCATAAGACGGATATACACGTAGAGATGTAGGTTCCAACCTGGCCAATACTGTAATTATTATTTGTCCCTTTTTCAAAAGCAGCACAGTGTAATCCATTCCCTTAGTTTACCTTTATCACAAACCACAGGAAACAGTCTGTAATCCCACATGGAAAAAGTGATATTATTTAAGCTCTGCTGAAATTCCAATAAAATCCTTCCAAAGTCTTCATGCTCCATCACTGTCATCTCGCCTTACAATTAGACAACAAAACAGGACAAGGCCTGCCACCCCCCAAATGCATTGTAAAGCTAAGTGCATTCAGTGACCCAAAGCATAACATTATCTCTCATAATACATACCTCTGAGTATTTTATTGTGATTATAATGGGTTCAGTATTTTAATTGCCATTTATATATCCATCATTTAGAAAACTGTGCACATCAGGTTTTTAATAGTTTGTAATTACATGACTTTGAGTTTTAGATCACTTTCCTCCTTACCTAGAACGGTGCCTTAAGAGCTCTTTATTTCATTTGAACTAGAGCTCTCGCTCCCTTGAAGGGCACAAATTTAACTTCCTCTGTTCTGCCAGCAGTGATGGATCAATTAATAGCTAATTTGTGTTACATAATATTTTTGTAATAAATCATTTCAACTTTGGTTTTATACATCAGCATGTAAAAAGGAAAGTTAAAATTGCATTTGAAACGGCAGCAGTTCAAATGCAGTTATGCCTCCCCAAGGTAGCTTGCCAGAAGAAAATAGTTTAAAAGTTCTTTTAAAGGGTTTAAAAAGTCAGGTTAATGTCATGGAAGTAGAAAGGTAAAGACTTAACTTAGAGTGAGCAGTTGGTATGTAAGTTCTTGATCCTGCATCGACCTTATGCACCAGCTTAACTTTGTACACTGCAAGTCGTCCCACTGTGTTCAGTGAGACTGTTCCCAGTGCTTACAGTTAAGCAGGTGCATAAGTCTTTGAAGAATCAGGGCACAAGAGCGATTATCAGGAACCACGTGTTTTCTCTCCCTTCCTTCCTCCCTCATAAGAAAAGTGTAGGATAATAGTCTCTTCATCCTTGTATCTACCTATGTGTGTTGCCCCTAGCTTTCCCCATAAGTGGTGGTTAGAAATTCCATGGGAGCAGGATTAGATCCTCCGAGTCTTTCTTATTGCAATATTACAAATTGTAGTTCTTGATGTGAATTATAACCCACCTAAGCACCTCCCTCACCCCAGATTTCATTCTGGCATCTTTCAGTTGCCTGCATCAATGAGGGAACAATTCATTTTTTTATCACTGTTGCTGCTTGATCATTAATACTATGCCCACCTCTTTAAAGGGCATGGACTGGACAATGGCACGCACATTAAACAAAGAGCTGAAATGACATCACTGTGGGCAGTTGACTAATAGAAGTTCTCCACATTCCCACAAAGTAGATAACACGGGGTCAGTCAGAGCTGTGGTGTCGGACTGTTCAGTGTGTGTTACTTACCTCTCTTTGCCTCAATTCCTCCATTTGTGTAACGAGGTTAATAGTTCTGTATTCCATTGGGGAGTCGTGAGGAGCACTGTTTGCAAAGTGATTTCAGCTCCTCATATATAAAAGGTTGTACAGGTCCAAGTTATCATCAATGATATATTAATTTGAGGGCAGATGAATTCTCTTGATACTCCGTTCCAAGTTCCGTACCTTAATCCAAAATTGCCAGACTCAGGATTAGAGATGTATAACAAATCCCTTCCATAATCTCATTTCTAATTTTCTTTGGGAGGCTCCCACTGATAGAGTTCTAAATTTTGTCTCAAATTAGCAGGCCCAACACACCACCGAGCTCCAGCCATGCCTTCTATTGAAACGAAATGGGTTCAGTTAACTCTGTCCTGCCCTAATGATCAGAAGAAATTTTACAGGTTTCAGTTGAGTAGCTAGAAATCACAGAGCATGGCAGAATGGGCGGCCTGGACAGCGGCACAGAATGGGTGCTTCAAGGTTATTGATCTGTGCGGGAAATTAAATGATTTTAGAGGGTTCCCAGACTCCAGTGGGGAACCCTGGACAGGTCTGTTAAGCTTCCCTTTGATTTTTTTAGAGAGACGCTATCAACTAAGGCTATGATGTGATTGACAATATAATAGTTTTTTTTCCCCTGGGTCATTAGTTCGTGTCTCAGAACTGTCACATCCTTCTCTGTAGCTTTTAGTGTAAATATACTTAATGAAAAGGAGGCAGGTATAGCTTTCAAACTGTGGTTTGTCATTAAGCTGTAAGAGAAACTCAAGTCCCTCTAAAGTCTCTGGGCCAGATCCCGCTTCCACTGAAATCAAAAGCATTGACTTCAAGGAGAGCAGGATTAGATTCTTTATACTGCTCAGTCTTTCTTACTAATTCTAATTCTTGATCTGAATGATAACAAGCGCTTAATAAATGCTGGATTGACCTCAGCAACCAACTGAACAAACAAGTTAACTGAATCTTTTCAATTTAGTCTGCCAGTAGTTTTTCTCTAGGAAATATTATGCTTTTTCTTAACAGAATGCACTTTTAAACTACAATTATATCTTAGAAATTAATACATTATAGTTAAAATAGCCTGGATCTGCATGCAGCATAGGAAGCAGCAACCTGTTCTCTTGGAGAGAACATGAAAGAATTAAATGTACCAAATAATGTGACACACAAAATAAATACCAGGAGCACAGTTAGGGTTTCTCCCTTTGTAATGAAGCAGGCGAGAGAAAATGTCAGTGTGGCCCAGTGGACAGGACACTGGACAAGGGATCAGGAGATCTTGTTTCTAGTCCTGGCTTCCATGCTGACCTGCTGTTTGACCTTGGGCAAGTCACTTTATGCCTCAGTTTCCCCATCTGGAAAATGGGGAGGACGCTTTTGACTTCCTTTGTAAAATATTTTGAAATCTGTCAATGAAAACTGCAGCCTGACAGCGACATGTCAGTGTAAGTAGGTAGAGGGACTATATACAGAAGAATGATTTTGTGATGTAATGAATAAGTGTACAACACTTCTCAGTATAATATTAAGAAACAACATGATATAAGCAGAGAGGGAGGGAGGGGCTGGGGGGGTTGTCTGTGCGCATATTAAAGGCTTGAAGGCAAGGGAGTCCAAGAACAAATGTTTTCTTTCCTGTGTCAGACTCAAAATCAGTCTTGGCATCAGCATTTCCTGCCATTTTACATTCTTATCAGCCACCCGGATTTTACCACATTGTTTTTCTAATTAATGTTCTTTTTTCTCTTCCCTGCCCTGATGGCCACGTTCAGCTGGAGGCGTTCTATTCCATATTTACCACAGAACAGCAAGATCATGTCAAGTCTGTGGAGTATCTAAGGAATAACTTCCGACCGCAGCAGAGTCTGAATGACAGGGTGGTGTCCAAGTCTGCTGTGAAAGATGCTTGGAGCCAAGATGTGATGGACATCTTAGAAAATCCATTTGGCACAGAGGCTTCCAAAGGTAGATTGGGATTAACTGCATTTGCTGAATGACAGCTTTGTTTTGTTTTTTTTACATAGGGCTTTCAATTAGTTGTCACTAGAAGTACAGGAGGTTCACTAAAGAAATATAGCAAGACTTAGTGAAACACTGTAGTTATACTTTATTATATTTAATACAGTTATGAGGCACTGAATTTTATTTTCCCCCACAATGCTCAACTAGCCTATGGAACTCATTGCCACAAGGAGGCTAAGAGCGTCGAAGGATTCAAAGAAGAATTGGACATTTATATTGATAAATCTGGATCTTCGAGAAAGGATTTTAAAAAATAGCCAAGAGTTTTAGAAGGGCTATAAGACCTTTAGGTTCAGGGCATAAACCAACCTCTTGGTAATGGCAGTTGGGAAGAATCTACCCTTGTGGAGAGGTTATTCTGTAACTCCTTTCTTCAGTGTTTGCTGCACCTCCCTGTGGAGCAGCAGCTGGTGTTTGCTGCTCTCGGAGATAGGTGGACCTCAGTTTGGAAAAGAGCATTAAGAGCCACACTGGCACAATTAGCCACATGGCTGTCAGACTGCTTTGGACGCACTCAGCAGATGTGCAGGTGTAAATAATACTTTCAGATTTATTTCTTGTATGTTTATGTTCCATTTTTCCTATGGGATGATTTTATTAGGCAGAGCTGCTGGGGGATGATCTGTGTTTGCCAGTCATTCCCTTTGAGAAATGCTCACTTCTTAAATAATCTATCAGGCACTCACCTGCCTCAATAATGGTGGAACTCGATGGGGTTGGTGGTGAAAGGGGACAGTCCCAGCTGTGAGGGAGACAGACATTCTCTAAGAACACTAGGTAGCTCCTCCCCTCAGGAGTCTCTGGCACCCATTGGCCAGCTGGGGAGGAATGGGTGCTGATTGGCCAGCCTTCCCCAGCTTCCAGGATTTAACCTGGAGCAGGGTCCACATGGAGCCCCTTTCAGCTCTGTTCCAGCAGCTCCACCCTACCTACCCAAACTAGGAATGGGAATCTATCCTGACCGTGTCTAGCTAATTGCCCATTCGGGGGGTCAGGAAGGAATTTTTTCTCCCACGAGCCAATTGGCAGAAGACCAGGGAATGTTTTGCCTTTCTTGCAGCACCTTTAAGCCACAGAGGGTTACTTAACTGAGATATTGGGGTTGAGTTGTTTATTGGTCGCCACTTGCAGCCGGTTTCCAGTGCAGTTAAGAGAATAAAATGGACAGTTCCCAGAGATAAAAAGATCTGGGATTGTGGTGATGGGCCTTGAGCTCATGGGATGGGGTCTGACTTTGTTGTCTTGGCGGGCCAGGGTCTGACTTTGTGGCTTTTGCAGGCCAGGGTCCCCACCCTTCTGTACCCTCTGTCCTCCTTGGAATAGGGAGGGTGCAAGGACTCAGAGAGCTGAGTCTTAGGGGGCAGGCTGAGGAGAGCCTACTCCGAGATATGGGTTATATGGTAAGGAGCCCTGTAACCCTGGCACTAGTTAAGAGTTATATGGTAAGGAGCCCTGTAACCCCCACACTGGAAGTAATTAAATATCCTGATATAGGCGAATATAAGTGATAGGTGTGTAGTGCCCCTCCACTGTGTTAAAGTTTAATAACGTTGTGACCTGCCTCTTCAAATCCATCTATGTGTCTGTCTTCATTTTACCGCTGTGTCCACATCAGTTGAGTGGATTCAAATATGCACGTCCATGGCTGGCACTTTGGCCTAGCTGGGCACAGACAGCATACCTCTTGTGGCACTCAGCTGCCACCCTCACCTTCCCAAGAGAACTGGGACAGAGCGGGGCTCTCCAGGCTTTATTATTCTGTGGCTGTGTTTGTTCAATAGAGAAGCACATAAAAAGCTGCTTTGGGACAAGTAATTTATATCAGGAGTGAGAAGAAGAGATTGTCAATCAGAATAATCCAGGCTGTGCTCTGGCCTGAAAGTTTCAAGCGGTGTTTTATCAGCATCATATGCCAATATTTATTCCTTCTGATATATACTGCACGAGTATTATTTACCCAGAGCAGTAATGGAAATTAATAGTTTACATTATGTTAAAATGACAAAACTGACTAGCTTTTACTGTGAGTATAGCTCAGGTACCTCTGAACCATGTGGTATAATACTGCAGAAGGTTTTACTGCTTTGGCTGAATGTTTGAATACTCTTTGTCTCACGGGACTGTTTTTAAGATCATAAAAGATTGTTTGTGTGCTCCTTCCTCCCCGGCCCCAACCCTCCCAAGTAAATAGGATACATCTGATGAAGTGAGCTGTAGCTCACGAAAGCTCATGCTCAAATAAATTGGTTAGTCTCTAAGGTGCCACAAGTACTCCTTTTCTTTTTGCGAATACAGACTAACATGGCTGTTCCTCTGAAACAAGTAAATAGCTGAGACCCACAATTGTAAATTATAAAATGCATCCGATGAAGTGAGCTGTAGCTCACAAAAGCTTATGCTCAAATAAATTGGTTAGTCTCTAAGGTGCCAGAAGTCCTCCTTTTCTTTTTGTGAATACAGACTAACACGGCTGTTACTCTGAAACCACAATTATAGCTGCATGTTACAAATACTATGCAATGGATTAGCCTTGAAATTCAAAGTGTTGCCATTGATCAAAGCCCATTAAAGTCAATGGAAAGATCCCCACTGACTTCTCTGTGCTAAATCCAACCCTAAGGCCCTGATTCAGCATGTGCCTAACTTTAACGTGTGAGTAATTCCAGTGAACCAAATGGAACTACTCACATATTCAAAAGTTAGGCTTAAGTGCCTTGCTGAACAGGGGCCTAAATCTGTATGGAGAAACCTTGTATCAGCTGAGATCAGTTCAGGCATACTGACCATCCACAGGTGTTGTGACCACCTTGGCATTTGGGGGCAGGGCATTGGTCAGTGGAGGGCCCTTGATTTTGGAACCTACACTTGTCTAATGGCCCATTTTGCTGGACTTTACGTGGGGTCCACTCTCTGCTAGCAGCACCTCCTGCTGGCCGCCCTGGGAATTAGCTCTGCCAGGTTTGCACTCCCCTTCTGTCAGTGTCTTCCCGCATGCTGTCTCACCCTGCGACCCCTTTCACTCCAGGGACTGCAGTCTCCTCTTCGTGGCTTGGCCCTCCAGCCAGGCCACTAAGGTCTTCTCCTTCCGGGGAATTCAAAGCCTTTCCAGACCCACTCTCTGTCTGGCATCTCCAACGCCCTGTGGCACTGCCCAGTGGCTGACAGGGGAACCCAGGCCCGCCCTCTACACTGGGTTTCAGCCCACTGACCCTATAACAAACAGCCAAGGTCTCTTTACCATCCTGCCCCTTCCTGCTATTTCCCTGGGCTTCTTCCTACTTATCTGGCTTCCCCCCACCTCTGGGTTTGCCGTTCTTCCAAATCCCTCCACTCAGGCAGTGACTGTAGCCTACTTCCCTGCAACCCTTGTCTGCAGCCAGCTACCTGGCTTTCTATAGTCCCCTCCCACCTCCCATTTCTGAATGGGTGAGCCTGTTCTTTAATTAGGACTTCCCCTCAGCATTCAGTCTACCATCTGGCCTCCATTAACCCCTTCCACTCCTGCGTTGAGTGGACACCCCATCACAGGTGAGAAAAGAACCACTGATTGTTTTCTCTAGGCCTTTTCCTCTGGAGGCTGACTGTTGGTGAGAATTTTATTTGCACTGACTCTGTCAACAGCTGCACATGTACCAAGGGACAATGGCGGCAGGTGCATTTTTATAAACTTAAAAGTAAATAGGTTGCTCTGGTGTTACCAAAATAAAATGGATTGTAGCACATCCCTGCAAAGGCTATAGGGCCGAGTTATATCTGCTCCAGAGATACAGCAATGCAAATGTTCCTGGCCCCTTCCTTGACGAAGGTGAATTGGGGAATGAAATGCCTGGTCCACTGCACATTCTGAACTACTGACATATAAATAAAATGACTTGAAGTCACAATACTTGAGTGAAAGCTAAACCTATTGTTTATTCCACTAGGAAATACAATGCATCATTATATAGTGTTATTCATGCAAAAGTACTGCAGCACAAAACATTTCACAGCCAGAGACAGTCTAGCATACAAATATAAGACTCCAAGGTTAACATAACATATTAAACCTTCACATATTTAACATCCGTCTACATTCAGTGGCTGTCATGGAAATACCAGCATTTGTCAACAGCTAACATATTGTAATATCCAAGATTACCATAGGTTTCAGAGTAGCATCCGATGAACTGAGCTGTAGCTCACGAAAGCTTATGCTCAAATAAATTGGTTAGTCTCTAAGGTGCCACAAGTCCTCCTTTTCCTTTCAAGATTACCATAGTTTCTCTTTATATGTAGAATAAGAGATATTTGCGGTAACTGTATGATAATGGTTGGGAAATGTTGACTTTTTAATAGCTTATGTTGTAATATATTGTAGGATTGGCAGTAGCCATCTTAAGCTTTTGTTCATGTGAGTTCTTTATGTCATGAAAACCCTGTGAACTGTTATAAATCTAGAAAACTATTTATAGTACTTAATAAGCCATTTTATTTTATAGGAAAAGGAGCACAGAAATTTACAGGATGTTTGGAATAATTTTGAGAATCACCCACATAACAGTGCCATGTGTCTGTCCATTAATAAACTGAACTGACCTGAACTGTTCTGGATATGCCATGCATCAATATTGGAACTCCTGTTCTTTAGATAGCAAAGATCATTCAAATCAGATCAATGGTGACCAGCTGGCATGACCAATAAGCTATGAAGATACATAATAGAAAGATCAGTTTGTTTGTCCAGTTCCCCTGAATGTATGTTTCCCCATATAGGGCAGCAACTCGTAGTGCTTAGCAAGTGGAATTTCTTTGATTCTCTCATCCCATTTCCTTCCATTGGCAGAACCTCCTGAAATTCAATTTTCTTAGGACTACTCTATCTTAAAAGTTAGGCACATGCGTAAGTACCTTGCTGAATCAGCACCTCTGACCTGAGAATAACATTTAAATTGATCCTTCTACAT